AGAGAGAGAGAGAGAGAGAGAGAGAGAGACAGACAGACAGACAGACAGACAGACAGACAGACAGACAGACAGACAGAGAGAGACAGACAGAGAGAAAGAGACAGACAGAGAGAGAGACAGACAGACAGACAGAGAGAAAGAAAGAAAGGAAGAAAGAGAAAAAAATCCAAGGAGAAAACACTCCTTAACAGAAGCCGAACCTGCACCATCATTATCACAAGGCACCGATAATTTAGCGAAGTTACACCAATGTAGTTGCTCCGACACTTACCCTGGCAGTAGTTTTTAAATCACCTAATTACCATTATTAAGAGGAGCACATTCGGTTGACAAAACAGCACTCACAGTTTAGGTAGTTAACATTTTTTCGTTTTTTTTTTCTTTTCTTTTTTTTTTCGTTTCCCCTCCCGTTTCCTTTGACAGTCTTGATGCATTTTTGTTTTTGTTTATTCGCTTCCCCTCTCGCTTCCTTTGACAATCTTGATGTAGTTCAAGTAGTTAACATTTTTCGTTTTTTTATTAGTTTCCCCTTTCGCTTCCTTTGACAATCTTGATGTAGTTCAGGTAGTTTAAAAAAAACGTTTTTTATTCGTTTCCCCTCCCGTTTCCTTTGACAATTTTGATGCAGTTGAGGTAGTTAACATTTTTTCGTTTTTTATTAGTTTCCCTTCTCGCTTCCTCTGACAATTTTGATGCAGTTGAGGTAGTTAACATTTTTGTTTTTGTTCATTCGTTTTCTCTCTGTTTCCCTTAACAATCTTTAATTAATTGTTCATTCGTTTCTCTCTCGTTTCCTTTAACAATCTTGATATACTTCAGTTAGTTAACATTTTTATTTTTGTTTATTCGCTTCCCTCTCGCTTCCTTTGACAAACTGATACTTTTTTGTGAGCGAATAATCACCTGTTTTGAGACACGCACATGCTGGCTGGTTCCTGGTTCATCTTTATCCCTTTTAGTGAAGAAAAATGCAGTTCCTTTCGTACAATGCGAGTCCAGTGAAGCAGGTAGTTGTTGTGGTGTTGTGGTCAGGACGGTAAAGGCAGTGATATGGTATGCAGAAAGGCGTGTGTGTTCTTCCCAAACCTTTTCTCTCTTTTCTCTCTCGCTCTGTCGGTTCCCCTTTACTTTCGTGAGTTATAAGAACGGACAATATTTACATGTTGTATCATTGATTCTATGTTGGACTTATATTTATATGTACTGTAATAGTACCGTGTGTATAATGAGAATAACTATTGTAACAAATGGAATAGAGTATTTTGAAGTGAATTTTCGATTGTGAGTCTATCTATCTATCTGTCTCTCTCTCTCTCTCTCTCTCTCTCCCTCTCTCTCTCTCTCTCTCTCTCTCTCACTCTCTCTCTCTCTCTCTCTCTCTCTCACACACACACACACACACACACACACACTCACTCACTCACTCACTCACTCACTAACTCACTCACTCACTCACTCACTCACTAACTCACTCACTCACTCACTCACTCACTAACTCACTCACTCACTCACTCACTCACTAACTCACTCACTCACTCACTCACTCACTAACTCACTCACTCACTCACTCACTCACTCTCTCTCTCTCTGGTCACTTCTGATATATCACTAGTGCTTCCGCGTTCGTATTATGGTTATCACTTTTTTTTTCTTTTAAATAATTATCACGTTTGTTCTTTCTCTTCTCTCCCTATTAATGCGTACACTTTCCATCTCCAAACAACTCCCACGACAGCTGTTGTCTTGCTCTCCTTGCCTCGCTGGACGATGGCTTCCCCAGCCGACCTCTCGAAGTGATTTTTCCATCTTTCTCTCTTCTCTTGGACGTAAAGCATAAAAACAAATGAAAACAAAAAAGAAGTACAGAGATCAGCGCCCGGAGAAAAACACGTGAATTTACCTCGATAAATGGCAGTACGGGACGAACCTAAACATTATCGCAATCTGGGAGGAAAAACGGGGAAAAATAGGTTAAAAAGACAATGGCTCTTATCAAACATATGTCCATGAGTATGCGATTGCTCGTCATGTTACCAAAATGAGAGAGCCCCCGAGGAGGAGGGAAGAAAAGACGATGAAAAGAACACGTACCGAAGAAAAAAAAAAAAAAAAAGATTGACAAAGAAGCCCCCATTTTCCTCCATCGGCCGCAGAGTGAACGGCCTGGGGTGTCGAGTGAGAGGAACGTGCGTGGAGAGAGATCGGAAGGCCGTTATCACACCGGAGAACACGAGGTGGCCGCAATACTCCCGTGGGTGAAAAGTGACTTAGTTCCTCCGTTGGGTTTGGCAGGAGGGCTGGGTGGACATCGCAGAGGAAGCGCCGGTCGTAGAAGCAGAAGTGGAAGTCGAGGGCGCCGGGCGGGGCTTCTCTTCGGATGTAGGCCTTTCGGAAGCGTGGTTCAGTGCCGTCCGTCGGTCTCGGATTTATTATTATAGGCCTTTAAAGCACGCACGCGCACACACTCACTCGGTCACTCTTTCACTTACTCTCTCACTCTCTCTCTCTCTCACTCACTCACTCACTCACTCACACACACAAATTCAAATGCAAGTACAAATACAAATACAGCTAATAATGATCATCATAATGATAACGATCGTAAATAAACAAAACCATAATAAATCAATGAACTCCCTGACAAAAGTAAAGGGCCCTGCAGAGGAGAGGACGCCAATGTCGTTCCAGCAAAGGACCAGCCCTTCACTTTGACCCTTATTAGCAGCCTTTTATGAACCATAAAAACCGATACAACTAACCCCAAGGTAACTATCCTCAATGGACGAATGTTAACACCACGGGGACTTTGTGTGTTGCTTAGAATGTGTTTACCTTGCTTGTGCAAAACTGTACCTGCTGTGAAGAGATCATCATCTACACGGGCGATTGCAAAAACGGGGAACAAGAAAACCAAAGAGTTTTTCGATTAATGAAGACGAAGAAGCTGGAAACATTAGTGTTAGAGAACAAGTGTTTCAGGTTTCAATTTAGTCTCTGCTGACGGCGATTCGGGACATCAACCCTGAATTGGCCGTTATATGTAAATGAGGAAGAGAGAGAGAGAAAGAAAGGGCAGACAGACAAACAAACAGATCAATAGATTGACAAACAGGCAAATTGATAGCCAGATATACATGCAGACAAAAAGAAAAGGACTTATCAGACAAATTGATAGGCAGACATACAAACAAAAAGAACAGGAATTATCAGACAAATTGATAAACAGACACAGACAAAAAGAACAGGACTCATCAGACAAATCGATAAACAGACATACAGACAAAAAGAACGAGACTTCGAAACAAAAATCGAAGCAGTATCAACACGCCTTGCCGACAGTTGCCACGCTCCCCACAAAGCGAAAACAGAAGCTCTCGTGAATTCTTACCCCACAGCTTACCTTCCCTCGCAAGGCAGGCAGAGCAAGTGGTTGATGGATAGACGTGCCAGGCTCCACGGGGCTCCGTTCCTCATGCTGAGATAAGTGGCTCGCTCAGCGAACATGTGCAAACCCCCGCTACAGTGTTTCGGATCGCGACGTATTCAGATTTGTGTATGATATTTTAGAGGGCGTAAAAATATGAATTTAGGGATGATAATAATAATAATAATGATAATAATAATAATAATAATAATAATAATAATAATGATAGTAATAATGATAATAATAGTAATAATAATTACTATTTTTATAATGATAATAACAATTGCTAATGATAGTAATTTTAATAATAATAAGTAATAATATTGATGATGATGGATAAAATGATAATGATAATTGTGCAGGGGGGTGCGTGCATGTGGGCGTGACATGCATACATGATATCCTTGATAAAAGCTCACCGTCCTTACCCAAAATGTTTCAACTACACGATTGTAAAAAAAATCACTTTCTTACATGACAATAAGCAATTAATATAATCACTTTGATCGTTAACAAGCCCACCGAAGAGAAACCGAGCTTTTGGAGCATTCATGGAGGCCAATAAATATCACAAGTTTCGTAACCAGTGGGTCCATTTAACTCCGACCTTGTTGCAATGGGAGAAAAAATGTTATATAAAAAAAAAAAAATAACTCAGGGTGTACGTTAGCCAGTGCATGGACACGCTCGTGCTGGTCCCGCGTTCCCACAAATTAGGCAAAATTACCCAGATAATCAGAAGCCCTGACGACGAAAATCTTAATGATCTGCGACACCTTGATTCTGCCTCTCCTTATGCCGTGGAGAATCGCAACGACTTTTTTTCTCTCTCTCTTGTCTTATAAGGTCAACCGGTTGGAGGCACAGCGACCCTCAGCGACCTTGCCTCCAGCACCGAGACTCATCACAGATTCGTCGTTCGGTTTTCTCTCTTATTTTTCTACTCCGTTTTATTTCTGTTAGTATCGTTATTATTTATTAGTGGTCATTGACTTTTTTTTCTTATTTAACACGGTTGGTTTAAGGAAACGGCCGAGATGCTCACTAGAAAGAAAGAATCCAGTTTGTAAAAGAGAGAGAGAGAGAGAGAGAGAGAGAGAGAGAGAGAGGAGAGAGAGAAGAGGAGAGAGGAAGAGAGAAAGAGGAGGGAGAGGAGAAAGGAGAGAGGAGAGAAGAGAGAAGAGGAGAGAGAGAGAGAGAGAGACAACAAAGACCACGGAGAGAGTTACATCAAAAGCCAAAAAGTATAAAACCACCAATTAAACGCAGTAATTGCAAACAGGCTTTAGAAAGAGAGCGAGCGAGCTGCCTCTCGTGATAATCGACATCAAATGACTTCGTGGCGGTGATGTTAAATTACAATTGCCTGTGAATATGGTAAAGGTCGAGGACAAGGACCTTTTACCCGATGTCTGGCGCTCTGGCCTTTGTTATTTGTTGGGAAGGAAGTTGAGTGTGATGGATGAGTGAGAAAAAGGTTCAGTTTGTGGTTGGCGGGATAGGTCGGTCAACTAATAGGCCGATTGTTATGTCGACTTAACAAAGTATGTTGTGCTGGTCAGATTTTTTTTTTTTTTTTTTTTTTTTTTTAAGGCAACAGTCCGATACGAGTTGATTGCTTATGGGTGGCTGAACTTGCAAAAAAAAATAATAATATAATAATAAAATAAATAATAATAATAATATAATAATAATAATATAATAATAATATAATATATTTTAAAAACGAAAAAATAATAATTGAGGGTAGTAAATGCATCTTTGCAACGGGAATGGCTGATAGCCAATGGTCAAATGATTGAGTCCAGATCCAATTACAATGATGACAAGCATCCCATAGATCAGAACAAGAAGGATTTTTTTTTTTTTTTTTTCAAATGTTCTGAGTGATATAGTATCAGTTTCCAATGCCATTCTTATGATTAACAGAAATTACATTTTTTCACCTCCTGCGTTGTGAAGGGAGTACATCGTATCAGTGTGAGCAGGTAAGGATAGATTTCACTGTTGCAAAGCAGCCACAGTATCCTTAATTAACACACAACTTTATCCGCAGGTGTGGCTAGCGCTCCTGGTGGTCGTGGCAACAGCCTCAGTGGTACAGGCGCAATTCAGATTCCCCTTGCCCTCGCCTCCTAGAATTCTCTTCGGCGGCTTCAGACCCTTGTTCTCCAGGCCTCGACCTCGGCCACGCCCCCGTCCTCCTGTGCTTGTCCCAGCGAATCAGTTCCTCCAGCAGCAGCAGGTGAGTTTCCGGTCGGGAGAGGTCGAGAGTGCAAGCCTTCGAAGGGGTTTGCCTAACACTGACCTGTACTTTATATTGTATGAATGATCTTGGATATTTATTCATGTATGTGAGTTTCTTCCCTTGTTTCCCTGTCTTTCTGTTGTTTGCGTAATACAAAGATCAGATTCATAGGTATTCTATTGACTGTTGGAATACAGTTTAACAGTCGTATGCAAATGTCCATATTTGACTTGATAGGCAGTAATTATGACCTAAAAAGTATATTTCAGGGGTATGGTTGTGTTTCTGACTCAAAGTTAGTTCACCGTAACCAAACATCCATTTTTACTCAAATACAGTTTATTATAATTCCCCCAAACCCCTGTTACTAGAAAATATGCAATGGCATGAATATACATTATAAAAACTCATGAGAGTCAATTTACTCATCAATATTAACATGCTATGGTGAATCAATATTCCAGACTAATGAACATTAGATATATAAATAATTCTGGCATAACTCATATGCATGATGCAAGTACATTAATGGTTACTAATGAGACCGACAAATCAGAAATGACTTCATTTAAATCTGGTATTATGCAAAAGTTGAAGACAGTCTTAAGATACCTTTAAATCAACCCTTACATTCCACAGGACAGTTAATCCTCTTTCAGGTTGTTGAACAATGCCATTTTGGATTTGAAATGCCCTTTGCATTTCTGATCCTCTGGCAGCAAAGGGGGTAAGAGGTAGGGCGACATAGTTATCTTCACACACAAAGGAACAGGTATATTTTCTCATGATATTCGTTACATGTCTTCCCTACAGAGATTTCGTCTTTGCCTTGGGAGAAATGGGAGATTGCATCGTTGTCACAGATTTAGGACGGAGGTTGGAAGACAAAAGCATTTACTTTCTTCTTCTTTGTAGCTTTTTATATGTAATTAAAATGCTTGTACTAATAAAGGTTAAAGGAGTGTACGTGGGATTCATCCGTGCTAGGAGTTTTCCATGCAAAGATTCACACTAGTTTTCTCTAACATCTATTGTATAAAAATGCAAGACGGCAACTCATTAAAAGGAAGGAGCATTTGTTAATAAACACGTGTATGATATCTGTCTCTGCAGTCAGATACCATGGAAATATTTTGGACTGGCACCTCAACACACACCTACGTGCACCACCAGTTTACCTGAACACTTCTGCAAAAGAAATATATAGATATTTTTACACGTATGAGCCTTTTCATTTCTTTACTCTTCCCCATTTTTCTTGATTCTGCATTTACACAAGACATTTGTTTTCCTTTGACAACAGGATTTTTTCTTTGACAGTTTTACACCGAAGCTAGCAGAATGAAAAAAAAAGATGAATGAAGCTGTGCATTATTCTGCATCTTATTCACAATAATCTACAATTCTTTACAGATGTGTGACAACTGACTCAGTACTATTGTATAATTTTGTATCTGGTGAATGAATTCCAAGTGCGGGTAACAGAGTGAAGACACAGTGACAGCTTCTGAACAAAATATTTGACAGCTGTTACTGCTGGAGACACTGATCTCACCTCCAGCATGTTGTAGTGTCATATTCATAAATAGATGGTGCCCCTCTGCATTGTTCATTTGTTTATTTTTTCAACTACTTTGTAGCCTAGTTCATCTCTGTGTGAGTTCATGTACAGTGTAAATGACTGTTAATATACTGAATCTTCCCTAGTCATTTTCCCCCTTATGATTTTTCTTCCTCTCCCTATTCATTTATGCCTCATATATACAGTCCTGTAATCTGCTTTCATATCATTATAATTCTTCTTGTATTTTTCCTTTGGCTGTTGAATGCACTTCACTTTGTATGGCTTTAAAGAACATTGTTTAATCCATAGTGTTTCTTGAATTTAACAAACAATGTACTGTAGAATGTAGTTTCTAACTACAGTTTGTATTTGACAGTGTTTATAATTATATATATTATTGTAATTATATTCAGATGCTTATTATACAAAGATGATTCAGTAATTGTACAAACAGACAAGTTCCAAAATCTAAAAATGTGTGCTATTATATAAAAACAATTAGATGAGTGTATCCTCACTTATTTAAGCAATATCAAACTAGTACAGAAAAAGAGAGTCCATACCCTTGCTGAACCCATTTTTAACAGAATGACCTCTCCAACAGAACCAGATAGCGCCACCTCCGCCGCCGCCACCTCAGCAAGTCTTCAGGCCTCAGCCACAGCCACTACCACAGCCACAGTCCTCTATCGTTTTTGCACCTCCACCAGTCTCTAGACCAGTATGTTATTTATTGCTCAGTTGACAGAATGTGAGGCATACATATCCTCACTGCTACAAGATTGATTACAAATGATCTAGAAGGATGGGTGATTTAAAAAAAAAAATTGTTGTAATGGAGAAATAATAAATAACCAATTTGGGACTTCTGTCTTCAGTTCTATTAGGAGAGTAAAATAAATATATCTCCAATTGGAATTAGTATCATGATTATAACTTATATAATAATTTACTGTTTCAGACTCCACCACCTCCACCACCACCAGCACCGCCAGCACCACCAGCACCACAGTTCATCCCACCAAGTCCCCCCAGCAACTCCGTGCAGTTCCGGCCTCCACCACCACCACCATCTCCGTCTCCAATCAATGA